ACACACACACACACACACACACACACACACACACACACACACACACAGGCTCATACTGGCTTCACTGGAGAATTACATCTAGCAATGTAGTACAAATTCCCTCAGGAAAAAAAAAAAATGAAGGAACAATTTTAACTTATGCAATTAAATGAGCAATGACCATTTTACCAAAACAAGAAAGCCTGAACAGTTTAAAGAAGGCTAATTAAGTGGCAATATACATTGAAATAACCCAACGTCAGACCAATTAAGTGTCCAGAGAAATAGATTAAAATGAAAGGGACTTAACTCCAGTACTATAACTACCTCTCTACCAGGGGAATTTCTCCCATGCATCCACAATCATTCCTGATAAATAGCATGTTAAGATACCGGGGGGGGGGGGGGGGGGGGGGGGGAGATGGGGGAGGTGGTTGGCGCAGGACTGATGGTGTAACACTCGGGTACATAGCTAAGATTGAAGATGAGGAGTTCAAGTCCAGCCATGCTAAACAAGACCCACGCTCAAAGCAACAGTTAACAAGGACCCTTCAGAGGAAACCAGAATTGGCATAGCAAAGGTAAATGAGAGCAGTGTCAATAGAAATTGGCAGTAAGAACTAGCATGGATGGTGGTTCCGGTGAACTGAACACCTGAGGCACACACTTATCACCACAAATTGTAGAAAGAACATTTGTGACACTAGTATATAATAACTAATATTAAGCCAAGCGGTGGTGGTACATGCCTTTAGTCCCAGTACTCTAGAGGTAGCAGCAGGTGGATCTTTATGAGTTTGAGACCAGCCTCGTCTACAGAGTAAGTTCCAGGACAGCCAAGGCTACACAGAAAACCCTGTCAAACCCTATCAAAGAGCTACTCCAACCTGGCATCCATGAAAAAGGCCACATACTGCAGTCTACATCTGCTATCAGCAAGTTTCCTAAAAGGGCTCTCCAGCATAACCCTTTGGAAAACCACTGGCTAGTTTTATCTGAAAGGGCAGCTAAGCCAGGCACTTCACTCATCATGGATGGGCCAGCCAAGCCACAAGATCATACTAAATCCTAAATCTACACAGATTGCAAGTAAACACAATTAGAAAATGACTTTTGGGAATTAGTTCTCTCCTTCTACCGCACAGGTCCTAGTGACCAAAGTCAGGTCACTGGGCTTGTCAGCACATGCCTTTACCTGCTGAACCATCTCACCAGCCCTAGTTAACTTATTTTTAAGGACGTAATTTTGACTTACTGGTCAATCTCACTTAAGTTGGCCACTCTGAGCACACATGATAGAAAACTGTACTCCCCCAAAACCAAAGAAAGCATTTCACTCGCTATTAAGGTATGGTAGCAGTGATCACTACACAAAAATCCCCACACAAAAGGGACTCACAGCATTAACCACTTAGAATAGCAGTAAATGCTTGATATGGTAACCCTTAATTACAGTTACCACCCATGACAGGACTGCCCAATATACAAAACTCTGTCAGGGTAGTCATTTCTGAAGCCTGGAAGAGCAAATCACATTTCAGTTATAAAAACAAGCGATAGTATACAAATAAATACCTGTCTCAGAAGATGAAATTACTACTCAACAGTGAAAGGATTTCAAGATTTTCATTTTATTAAAAATATAGCATCATAATTGCATCATTTGATAGCTCTTTACTAATAGCATGTAAAAGTACTTCTACTCACAGACTCACACCTAGGCAGTATCTTTATGCTTACAATAACTTTTCCCTTTTGAGGATCTGTAATACTGTTCTATTAAACTACTTGAGACCAAGAAGGTGTTTTTAATTACAAAACTGACCTCTACAATTACACAGCATATTCAATCTTGTATGGAAATCAGTTCTCTGGATTATTCCCCCATTATGTGTTGGCTACTGGTACCATTTACTAGTAGAATTCTACAATTCTTTCAGTATGAGTTTGATGAATCTGAACCTAAATAGTCAGGAATGTCTCTATTAGAAAAACAAAAACAAAACAAAGACAACAAAAAGAGACCACTACTCCATTCTCAACCTAGAATTTAAATATCATCTCTCCCCAAATTGGCAAATTTCCAAATGAAAATGTTAGCTGCCAGTAAGCCTAAACATCAGGCAACAGACTAAAAACCTACTTTTAAAATACATTGTTATGAGCTGGGCTGCAGTTCAGTGACAGACCACTTCAGATGTGAAGCCCTGGGTTCAATCCTTAAAGTGAGGGAAAAAAAAATTAACCATAAACAAATCAATTACAGAAATTACTAACATTTCTTAGCCTGGAATGTAAAAAGATCTACTACTAAATCTAACCTGGTTATGGACCAGAAGTCATAAATGGCTTTAGCTTTCCAATTTTAATTTATGTATCGCTCACTCTTCAGGTGAGATCATTAATCATACAATAAAAGACAAAGGAAATTGAAAGGCTGACCTACAAATTAAGTAGGAACCAAGTTTTATTTTTAAAGATTATTTTGTTACATTTAGATTCCTGCTTCCAGGAACAAAATGATGCCCTTTGAAGACCATTAAATTTGGGAACTTGAACATAATTCAAATGACTATTAGCTAAACATGAGAAAACGTTAAGGTGGGAAAAACACAAATACATATGTACAGCCACTGAACTTCTACATCATGGAGCTAGCTCAGCTTCATGACCAACTCAATCAAATCCTATTTCCAGTGACTCACAGAGATGCTCCATTACTCAATGCATTCCTCCAAAAAGGCTGATACTAGCTGCTGACTCAACTAACATGAAATCATACTCTATCTGTAATTCACTGTAAATTGGAATTATTTTTAAAGCCTATTAGTGAGCTTCATAACCCCTAAATTTAAATAACCTCATAGGTTAAGACAGGTCTAGATAAAAGGCTGGATCTTTTTAACATTTAAAATGAAAGCCACACAAACTAAACAATGACATTAGCATTTTAAAACAGATTTTTCTTGACCAAAAAAATAAATCATCCTGATTATAAACATTGGTTTTTATTTGTAATTTAAGCCTTTAACATAAAGATAAATACATAACAGACACTGAATCTGTTCAAAAAAAGAATTCTAAACATGGAGATTACAGGCTGAGCAGTGGTTTTTTTGTCTAAGTTAGCTAGTCCTTCACTGTGAAGCCAGCAGGTTAGTGCCTACACCAGCTCAGTGTGCACAGGGAAGCTGTCCACAGCATCAGACTGTCCACAGTGAGGAAAAGAACAACCACAGTTGCCGTCAGTCAGAGCGGCTCCTCTTAGCTTACCTCAGGTTGTCCTGACAGCCATCTATCTTGGGTGAAAAACAATATTCTTGAAAGAAATAAAACACCTTAACAAAAAACAGTAGATGAGTAAAAACAAATAGGCGTACCTGTCTCCCTCATGCCAGCGAGTGTTGCTTCTAAGAAAAACAAATTCTACAGCATCTGAATTCACTTTTGCTTGTGTTCCTAGTCATTCTGAGTTTTCAAAACCATTTTCTACATTAATGATTATTTAAGCAAAATAAATACCTGCATAAAAAGTACTTAGCAGTAGGAATTAAATGTTAACATCCACCATGAAAACATTTTTAACGGTCCACAGGGGAGGAAAACACCTCAACTTCAAAGGGCTGTTTTAGAGACAATGCAAAAGCCTGCATTGTCCCGGACTCCATATGCCAAACAAAACAAGAGCAGGATGAAACTAAAGAGTCTTTCCTCTAAAATACTCAACTTTATTAGAGAAATGGTACTAAAAAATAACAAAGATTCAAACATTTGCTCTATTCTACTTACATATCATAAATAAGACAGCGGTTGAAGCGAGACACACTCCTTCACAATCTTTCCACAGGTGCCCAAGTATTTCTGTATCAGAATAAGCTGTTTACCAGCCAACCGTATGTGGCTAAGTGATTTAAATGGCCATCTATACTTTACATAGTAAAGTATTTTCCAAAAGTTTAATGTACACAGTGACAAAAAAGAACACACACATATACACACAGTAATTCTGAACACCTGAAGATGATCAAGCAGCTTCATAATCGAACCAGGCTTTATGATTTGCAGAAAGGGCCTTTCTATTCTTCAAATTATAGTTTCAACAGTATTAATGTGAAAACAAGACTCAAGTTGAAACCAAATAACTAAAGTGCTACCTGGCTTTTTAAATCTGTGAAAGTAACTCTTCCCCCCGTGAGGTAAGGCAACTAAGTAATTTGATTGTATTAGGTTGTATTAAAATAATTACACTTGATTTTCAAATAACCTTTGCAAATTGAAAGTGGGTTTTTGTTTGTTTTGGAACTATTAACAATAATGAAGAGTGCATTAATTAGAATTTATAGTTTTGAAGAAAACATTAACACAGATGTCATTTTACTACTTTCATACCTTCTGCAAAAAGCTGAGCCCAAGATTGATGGATGACCCTGTGTCTTAAACTCGCATAAGCAAATCGTTAAACACAAAACCACCTCCATATGATCCCAGTCCTCCCTTTAAAAATAATCTCGGCATCATTAGGAGAAAATGACTGCGAGGTAATATTAAGGCCATCCAATGAAGTCAATCGGTAGGTTTCCTCTGATCTAAGAGCATGTCTCCTTTTTAATCATCACAGTAGAAAACTGGTGGTCCCAAAACTACATTGTTGTCTGAAACTCCCCAAGTCTTGTAAACAGGACTTTACTTAACTGAATTAAGAAGTGCTTCTGACACACGACGCACACACTTCCCAATGGGTGTGACTAGAACACAGCCATCTAGATTCCATATGAACTGAGAATGACTGGCACACAGAAGATCCTAGAAAGCAGCACACCACACATTGTAGAAGGCACTAAAGCTTCAGCTTGTGCTCCCTAGCCCATTTTGAAAATTCAGTTTCCTTTTTATAAAGGCATCTTTGCCACCTATGGCTGGCAAGACACACTGCAAATTTTTTTCATGAGCTTGAAAATGTCAACAAAGTTTAAGAAGAAACGCTCATTTTGTGGCAGACATCGAATACTGACATGTTAGTAGTATTCGACACAGTTGTTCTTTTTTTTTTGAAAGAGAACAGTAGCATGCATTGTCAGTTGGTTTTTAATCCACATATTTAGGCAGCTTTAATCTGTAGAAACTGTTTTAAAGAAAAACTGATGTCCAAAACAGTGAGCAAAAGAAAACACAATAGTGAGAATTTACCACAATCACTGTAAGCCCTGTGAAGTGAATGTTAAAACTTCTTACATACTTTGCACTTTACAAGAGTGTGTATATCTGCACAAATTTCAAGCACATCAAACTGTACATATTCAATTTTTTTTTAAAAAAGTAAAACAATACAAAAGTCAGTAACTAGCATTTTGTAAGCGCCTCCAATGCTCATCTCTAGTCTTTAGGGATAGCTCCACTCTGCATCTTTGATGTTCAATTTCTTTGCAATGCTCCTGGCAAACACTAATGCACTGCATGACAAGTGTGACAGCCACCATGGAAACGCAGACTTCAGAAGATGGTGAGTTTGGGGACATCTGGCATTTCATGATGTCCACGCTCCATAACAAGATGTCCACAATGTCACCTCATAGCTGGAAAAGCTGTTAGTTTCCACTCATGGGTTTCTTCCCGTTTCCACCTTGCTGTGAACTGAAAGCTTTGGGTTTGCTCCCACCTGGAGGGAGATGCAGCTGGCGGGCCTACACGGCGTCAGCTTGGCTACAGAGGCTCTCTTCATTTGGCTGGCAATTCCCATTCTGCTGCACTTTGTTTTCTTCCTCAGTCCTTGGTGACTCCTTGTCCCCTGCATCTTTGCTCACACTGGAATCTGCCTTCTCCTACAACAGACAGCACGAACATGTTCACTATAAGAACTCTCTGTGACTGCGGCTGAAGGATGTAACTGTCTTTTGTGAATAAGGCTGCATTGTTTTCTTTCACTAAAAAACCATGCAAGCATGTATCAATTTGTCCTTTGTATGTTATTTCCCACAAAAGATGGGCAATTCATGGTAACAAACTCAGACTTTAACAGGTGAACAGAAATTCTAGCTCTTCAAAACAGCCTTATAAAACAAAACAAACAAAGCCAAATAGCTTTCCAATACACAAGAAATAACTGTGAACATGGACAAAAAGAAGTTGCTATTCCTATTAGAAAACCGTCAACAGCAGTCCAAATTCTGCCCTCAGGCTAAGAAAAGACTACAAAGAACGCCTAAGATATAATACATGCTTAATAAAGAACGGTGATTCACAACCTTTTTTCCAAATAGAATTAGACATGACAAAATAGCAAAAGAAACTGAACTGACAAAACTCCTAAGTACTTACAATTTCTAAGAAAAAGCTTAATTAGGGAGTTTCATTTTTAACTCTGTATTAGGGAATTTAGTTTTCATGTACTACACATCAACAAATCTAACAAATCTAATTGTAACTATATACTACAGAACCAATGACAACAAAGTCTCATAAACACGCTCAAATGTATGCCAAGGAGAGTAGTATCAGACCCACATCTCATAAACATATCAAATACATTTGTTACTTAGGGGTTCTCTAAAATTTTCTCCTTATATGTTATTTACTGATTCTCCAAAATAAGGAATTAAGCTGCTTACATTTTAATTGTCTCTCATCTCTTCAAAAGATAGTATGTATGAAGAGCAATGGTGCACAGGGCACCTCTGATGCTGGGGGCAGACTGCTGCTCTGGGGGGACAGGACTGCTGCCCTAGGTGGGGTAGGAGGCACTGTGCTTCTGCACGCAGGCCCTAGGTGAGGGGCTTACCTTGTTTTGTTCTTCTTCAAGACAAGAGTTTCTCTGTGTAGCTCTGGCTGTCCTGGACTTGCTTGGTAGACCAGGCTGGCCTCCAGTTCACAAAGATCTGCCTGCCTCTGCCTCTCCTGAGTTTAAAGGTATGCATCACCACAGCCTGCTCTGAGTGCCTTACCTTAACTTGCGTGTTGGTCTTCTCCACCTTCTCCTTCCCATCTCGGTCACCAGAACTCTTTTTTGTGGAGGTGGAACGCTCTCTTTCTCTCCTGTCACTGATGTGGTCCCGTTCTTTTTCTCTCTTCTTATCTTTCTTATTTCTGCTATATTGAAAACGCAACAGTTATCTTCTAAGAATGTAAAGACCTACTCTATCGGCTGGCAGCAGTCCTTATCTAACATAGCCTATCCAAAACAAGGCACTGAAAATAAGTATGCTAGAAAATTAGGTTGGCAAAGGAACAAAAATAGGTCCTACAACCTGACCTATTCCCTTTGTTTCAGTCAGGGTTAAAGTCATTTCTGCAGCAGCCACCATGTGTTCCTTTTTGACACAACTTGGTATTGTCAATTTACTACTTTTTAAATGCTCAAGATTTACTTTTCTACCAAAATAAGGATGAGATAAAAACCCAACTACAGCCAGCCTATACTATAATAGTTCCTTATCCACACACTCAACCACAAGTCAAAATGCTACACCTCAACACAGGCATTTCTTTTCCTGGTCATGGAAACTCTTCTACTAAATCCCTGACGCCTACAGACTTTTTTCTTTTCATAATTCTCTGACTATACCATATACTAGCGTATGTTTTCATATGAACCTTCTCAACTTAATGTATGAACATTCAAGAGGAAATAAAAAGAGACAGTAAGATGGCTTAGTGGACATCAAGCATAATGCCCCGAGTTTGATCCCTGGGACCTACAAGATAGGAGAGAACCAACTACCCGTCCTGACACCCTCATTTACACAAAATAGAAACAAACAAACAAACAAACAAACAAAAAAAACCATTAACAGAGAATGAAAAGGACAGAGATTGAGATGCGAGAGAATCTTAGCATCCAGCAAAACTTAGAATTTCAAATAACCTACTATGTTCCTTATCCATCTCATCTACTACTAGAAACAAGAACCACCAATTCACAACCACCCATAAAACATACGGAGCTCCCTTACAAATAAAAAAAATTTAGAAAAATCACAGACCCCTAAGATTATAAGGGAGAAATTATTCAAATCATTTGAAAAACACAACTGCTCCTGACCTGACTGAGATAATTCTAACATGGAAATATGAGAAGTTCCTTCTTATAAGTAGTTTAAAAATAGATATGAGACTAATGGAACAAATAAAGACAACTATGAAGAAGATCCAAAAACAAATGAAATTCTGTTGTAAGAAAAGTACCATTCAAGTCACTGGGGAAAAAATGATTTTTTATAACAAGAGGTTTGGGGTGAACTTTCTAATCATTTGCAAGGTGTTAAAACAGAATGCACATGCCATTCTGCATAACAGAAATAAACCAAATTGGCTTAGAGACCAAATTTGTTTTTAAATGAAATGACTACATACTAGAAATTAATATGGGTGAATTCCAGGTTAAAGGAAATTTCTGGCCACAACTAAAACTTCAAAGACATAAAACAAACAAAAAATGTAAAAATTTTTTGTAAGAAACTTTACAAGGCAAAACAACATCAAAAAAAGAAATCTCACATGCCTCAAAACAAAGCATATTTATGTGTGCTATATTTCTTTATATATGGCTTAAAAACTAAAAGAACAATACAAAGAAGCATAACAAACAATAAACTACATGGGCTGGAGGTGGCTCAGCAGTAACAGGCAGAGGACTGGGTTCAGTTCGCAGCACCAACATGAGGCAGGCTGCAATTGTCTGCAACTCCCCCGCCCTCTTCCTGCCTCTGCAGGCATTGTGCTTACATGCACAAACACAGACATAGAATTAAAAAACTACAAATGACATTTTAAAAGAAAATACAATCAATCTAACTAAAGATAACAAAAACACCACCAGTTCATATGCTAGCTACAACACAGTAAGGAAGGAACTTACAGAAGACACACTGGAAGGCAAGCCTGAATGCCATTAGGAGCATCACAAAAACAATGCACATACTCAATGCAACCCCTACAATGACCGTTAACAGCATCAGCAGCAGACACAGGAAAACCCACCCTAAAACTCATATGACATCTTGAAGGCTTTTCATACAGCCAAAATGATCTTTTAGAAAAAGAACAGATTGAAGCTGGAGAGATGACACGGTTGTTAAGAGCACTCAATGTTCTTTTAGAAGACCCTGGTTTAGTTTCCAGCACTCACACAGAAGCTCATAACTTCCAGTTCCAGGGAATCTGACATCTCCTCACCTCCACAGGCTCCTGGATACATGTTACAAACACTTAGGCACACACATAAAATAAATGAATATATAAATATTTTTAAGGAAAACAGGGTTAGATGACTCAGAATTTCTGATCTCAAAATGACTACAAAACTACATTAACTGAAAACATGGTACTTGCCTAAGGACAAAATATGTACAGCTATGAAATGGCCTAGAATAAACTTGTATAGCAGGTCAAATGATTTTCAAGATGGGTGTCAAAACCATCATTCAATGGTAAAATGGCTGTTTTCAACAACAGTGCTGGGAAAATCTTAAATCCAAATGCCAAAGAATGAAGTTGGAATCCCACCTCTAACCATATATAAAAATTATCTCAAAATAAGCAAAAGGGTTGACCAATGGCTCAGAGTGACAGCATATGTTGTGCGACCTGAACCCACATATAAGTAGCAGAGAACTAATTTCATAAAGATGTCCTTCAACTTCCACACATATGCTGTGACACAGACACATCACAAACACACAAATAATAAAACTTAAAACAAAAATAGGTCAACAGACAATAGCAGTTTATCATAAGCTCAAGGGTAGTCTAGTCTACTAGTGTGTAAACATCAAAATGAGACCTGGGCATAGTCACTGATGACACAAATATACAAGAGTATGCCATCCCTTGTGTGAAGAAAGAAAAAAAAAAAGGAAAATACTTATTTGCCTAATTTTGCAAAAAGAAACAGAAAAAAAGGCAGGCAGAAGGAAAATAGAATATTATCCCAGAGCCAGAGTCCCAACATCATCAAAAGAAATGAAGACACTCTCACCCGTAGGGAGACATTTCTTATAGTTACGAATGGTGAAAAGGCACAGCCCCTAGCTAATCTATTTCATGCTACTTTTTAGTCTAAGGAAAAAACGTATACATTTCCATCTTGTAACTATACAAAACTAGTGAAAAAAAGGGGAAGGGGGTTCAATGGTCAACTCCTTTAGAGACAGAGTGGATGAGCACATGGGTGGAAGATGATAGTTTTAAACACCCACGTCTTTTATTAATTCTGAAGAATTCAAATTTTAGCCATTCAAAATGTAAAACTTAAAAACAGGTTAAAGAAGAAGTTCTTTTTCATGTTCTGTTCCCTCTTTATGCTTTTCCCAGAAGCATCACCTACCCCCTGGGAGATGGAGACCTGGAAGACTTTCTCTTTATGGTCTTTGATGTTCTTGGTGATCTGGAAGAACTCCTGCTCCTCCTCCTCCGCCTTTCCCTGAAAGACAAAACATGTCACTTTCTAAAATCAGCCACTGAAATTAAAGACAGTTCAAACTACAAAGTTAGATTTTTTAAAAAATGTTTTTCAGACCTTGACAATAGCCTCAGGTTTCTCAGTACTGAGACTGTCGGCTTATACCAACAGCTTAGCTTATTTTTATTGGGAGAAGGGTTAAAGGGATCCTGGAGATAAAATTGAGGCCCTGCCACATGACAGACAAGTGGTTTGCCCCTGAGCCACTCCCCTAACCCCTTAAAGGCCCATTATACTCTTTTTAAAATCATGTTTTATTACCTGATTTTAACGTGGATCAAATTATGAACCATACATTTTATTGTTGACAAAACCATCATCTAAAATTTCAGAAAATAAAGGACAACCTCCTTTTCATGTTAGTATATAAGTAATGAGTTTCGCTAGAACCAATTTTCCAGTGGAGAAACTATTAACGATGTTTTAGACTCTTAGACTCAAGTATCTTCTCTCTTAGTGACTAAAATCTTTCCTGTCATTATGCTTCTGGCTCTTCCTGCCCTACTGCGAAGACATTACTTTCTAACAAAGTAACAAAGTCTGGCAAAACTGAAAATCTTGCTAAGGTCTGATATGTCAGAATGACAAAAAAGCATTTAAATAATTTATTGAGAAACTGCTTTCCCCTCAGCTTGCTATCATTACTGTTCAGGTAATTTTAAATCAAATGCACAAATTTACACACATAGTTAAAATCTAAAATTTACATAATTACAAAGAACATTTTAACATTAGCAATGCATATTTTAAACTACATCATATTTAAGAGTAGTTAAATTAGAATCAATGAACTTCACCATGTTCACAATTCAAGGGATATATGGGGACATATTTATCAAATGATTACTATAGCCAATGATCTTATATAAGAAGTTCTGCTAAGGGCTGCTAATTGTTCCGTGGATAAAGGACTTCCTGCCTAGGCACCAATGTAAATGGCCAGGCAGGGGTGGCACAAACCTGCAATCCTGCTCCAGGAGGCAAGAACAGGAGGATCTGGCAGACTTGCTAGCCTGGACAGTCAGTGAGTTTCGGGTTCACTGACGTCTTGTCTCAAAAACTAAGGTGAAGAGTGACCGAGGAAGACACACACACGGACCACTAATTGCAACACATGCAGACATAAATGCACACACTGCAAACACATCCCCCACACACAGAGCAGCAGCAGCTCTGAGAACCACTGACCACACACACAAAATATAAATCCTCTGAAATTCAAGTTCTCCATTCTATTGCTTTTAGTTTTCTTTCATAAATGTAAGCACTTAGATTATTAGTTGTATATACAGTTTTCATTTTGAAGAGTCAAAAGAGCAAAGATCTTTAACAACACAAATACTATTTAAACTGGGTCTACTTTTTCAATTGGAAACAAAGAAAACTCACGAACAGTAATTCAAGACTTACAGGGCTGTGCTGAGGCTAGAGGAGAACACCTATAAAGGGGCAAGGAGCAGAGCCAGGCACACAGGAGGTGCTCCATAGAGAGAGATTTTATTTTTTTTGTGGGAGTAGAAACAGAATGTTGAAGAAAAAAGTCAAACCCAAATCTATTCACATGTGCTAGAAAAGCAATGATAAACAGTCTCTGCCCTACCTTTCTATTTATTTATTTATTTATTTATTTATTATTGCTGTTTTTGTTTTTTGAGATATGTCTTCTCTCTGTAGTCTTGGCTGTCCTGGACTGTAAAACAGGCCTGCCTAGAACTCACAATCCTCCTGCCTCTGCCTCCCTGAGTGCAAGCACAGGCATGTGACACTGCACCCAGCTTCCTTCCCTTTCTTTTTGACAGTAGTTTTACAGTAGGAAACATTTAAGTATTAAATCTTTTTTAAAATACAGATTAGGAGACACTGTTGCAAATATAAGCATGAAGTACTTTTTTGAGCAGTTAGAATGCTTCCCGTAAAGGAGGGGCCTACTACAGCATGGGAAGCCATAGCTACCGCTTAACTTGACGTTACTCCCAGAGAACTCGCAGACCATCAGGGATGCACATGTAGTCATTTACTAACCACCTCCTTTCAGCTCAGCCCTGTCTTTCGGTCTGTAGGTCCCAGGTCTTAAGATTATGCTCAGGACTGAATGTGAACCTTTCACCTCCTTTAAACATAAAACAAAGGAGCTGGGTATGGTGGCACACGCCTTTAATCCTAGCACTTGAGAGAGTTGCGTTTGAGGCCAGCTAGGTCTACACATTGAGAGCTACATAGAGACTCTGTCTGGGGGCGGGGAGAGGGAGAGGAAGAGAGGAAGAGGGAGACGGGGAGAGGGAGGGAAAATGGAAGAAAGCTAACAATCATTTTAGAGTCACCAGAAAAATAAACTTATGTTACTAATTAGAAAGGATTCAAATTGTTTGATACTGTAAAGTAGAGGATCTGGATGGCACAACAACATGAGGGCACCCACAACATGAGTTAACAAAATCACTTGTAAGCAAGGTGGTTCACAGGTTAGCCTGATATCCAGGGCAAAGGTTGTAATTGTGTTTCAATGTTGAGACCATTGTGACTGGTGTTAGCTTTCAACTTCATGGTTGAAAAGCATGTTTTAAAAAGCTGGTATCAAGTACTAGTCACACTTTCTATCAAGAAGGAAACAAGGTACTACACTTCTGATAGCAGAGAAGTGGGCAATGGAAAGGCCTGTTTTTACCACAGTTAGTAGTCTCACAAGCTTGCTGGAAGAACTAAGTGAGACATCAAAGTCAGCTGAGAACGAGACCAGCACCCAATGAACACTGCAATTTGCTTTTATTAATAGGCTGGCATGAAATAAGCTATAAAATAAGCTATAAAAAAAGCTATAAAAAATAAGCTATAAAAAACATTTTAAAAAGTAGGAAATATTCATTCATCAACTTGTTTGCAATGAAAAGCCAACTTTAAAATTTGTTCAAACATTTATTTTTAAATATTTTTAAAAGACTAAACTTAACTTATCACAGAATCATCTGGAATAAGGGATAAGAGGATTAAGGTTGAGGAAGATTCTCATTTTTGTAGTAGATTCTCATTTTGTTACATTTGTTAGCAACATGCTGCCACCAGGTGGCAGCATACCTACTAATAAGTGGAAACAGTAGTCCTAAAGGAAAAGATGTAATCCTTAAAACTAACAAAGGAGAATACTTAAAGGACATACACAAAGCATAATGGAAGCAAAAGTTAACTTAGCTAATAGACGGGACTCACACTACAACTTTAGGAATCATGTAACATGCTAAGATTTACCACACCACTTCAGGGAGACACCAAAGCCTCAAAGGTCAACTATCACAAGAATTTTTACACAGGCGTTTTAAAAGCATTTTCTCAAAAAAAAAAAAAAAAAAAAAAAAAAAAGCATTTTCTCCATCATATGCCATTCTCTAGGAAAATAGTAAGGAAAAATTAACCAGATTTAAATATTGCAGCTACGTCTGTCCAAATATCCTGCCCAGGAAGTTCACTGATGTAGTAATCTCTCTGCCGGAGAAAAGTTCACTCAGCAATTAAGAGTAGATGTTGCTACTATGCTTGCATGAAGTAATCTTCCCCCTCAGTTATAAATGTACTCATTAGCCACCAGCAAAGCCCTTGGTACAAAGCGTGAGCAGTGTGTACTGAGAGCTCAGTCAGTGAAGGGCTTGTCATGGAAGCGTGAGGCCCCAAGCTCTGCCTCCAGAACCCACGTGGAAAAGCCCAGCACAAGAATAACACAAGCAAGCAAGCTTGATAGCATGCATCTGTGACGCCAGTCCCAGGGAGGAAGTCAAGTGGATCCCTGGGCTAACGGCCCATCAGCCTAGCCTACTGTGTCCTGGCCAATGAACCACATCCAAAGTCGTCCTATGACCTCCACACACAAGCACCCACAGGCAGGCACCTGCACACACAGAGAAGTATCATCAAACCTGCTGGTACTACGAGATCTTCTTGATGCATTGTAACTTCGGGGTGGTGTTCTGGACTTCTTATCCTTCTTCCGTTTTTCATCTGTCTCTTTAGATCTGTCTTTTTCTCGTTCCTTGTCTTTATCCTGTTCCTTCTCCTTCTCTTTGTCTCGCTCCTTTTCATGATCCTTTTCTTTCTCACGGTCTTTGTCTTTGTTTTTACTCCGTTCCTTGTCTTTTTCACGATCCTTTTCCCTTTCTCTCTCCTTTTCTCTCTCTCTCTCCTTCACTCTTTCCTTTTCCCTCACCTTTTCACGGGTATCTTTTCTCTTGTCCCTTGAAAAACAAAGAAATAAATTCTTAGCTAAAATAATTCGAGCTCAAAAAGAGACTTTTTCACCATTACTAATAATAAGAGACCTTTTTCACCATTACTGTAATTACTGACTACAGACTTTAGAAAAATCTGTATAACTCAGGTGTGCACCTGAGGCTGCTAAGTGGGCAATTACTAGGCCAAGCTGAATCACACTGGTCATATTTGCCTCTGGGCATCAGAGGCAATCAATAGTAATCCTAGACACTAAAGCAATGAGAAAGCCTTAGTTCTCTCATGATAAACCTAAACCACAACTTCACTTAAGTAAAAACAGGATAAAATTTTAAATTCTCCCATGACCACTCCAAACCTCACCGAGACCGTGACCGGCTCCGTGACTTCCGCCTCTCCCGAGACTTAGAGCGTTTCTTATGTGGGCTCTTGGATCTACGTCTATCTTTCTGTCTTGAACGTGACCTGTTATGGGATCTACTCCTAAAGAAAAACAAATTGTAAGGACATCAAAATTTAATCTTAGAATTTCAACTGCAAAAAAGTTAAGAATTATTTTCAACAAGAGCATTTAGAAAATCTATCCTATAAACATTTTAAGTGACCCTACTATAATGTTTTCATTATAATGGCAGAAATTAAATCTACTTACTGGAAATTTACCAGCTGTATTATTGTGTAGAACACAAAACAAAAATTACTTAATAATTATTTTTTTCTATGTCAGATTATTTTCAGGAATAGTTTTCCTTTTCATCACACTATTACATGCCTCGAATATGAAGACTGTTCCCTTGGCCCAAGTTTCCCATCCTGAATTGTCTCTAACTCCTGGCTTCCTTGTATGCTGGCTGCGATTCATCCTGAGGGGAGCAGGTTATACGCTTCAACAAGTTCTGTAAATGGCTATGTACTGTTTGTCACAACAAATATTAGAAAGAATGTATAAGGAATGAGAGATGAAGAAGGCAGTGAAGATGAACACCAGTAAGCATTATCAACATGTAGAAACTTGTCAAAGAACACAGTAATAAAAAGTATTTTAAAGTATATTGAAGAATAGTATTATTGATAATACTGGTATTATTAACAAAATGAAGCATGAGATGTTAAAACCAGAGAGATTAGCTGGGCAGTGTTGGCACATCCCTTTATCCCAGCACTCAGGCGAATCTCTATGAGTTTGAGGTCAACCTGGACTACAGAGCAAGTTCTAGAACAGCCAGAGCTATACAGAGAATCCCTGTCTCGAAAAAACCAAACCAACCAAACAAACAAAAAACCCCTGGTAACTCAAGTGTCTTGATCTTTTAACTCTAATTATAATCACCTATTTAAAAACCTTTACTACTCTATTATCCCCTGAAAAATAAGTTATTTCAATTCCAAGGAAGCCCCATTAAAATAACTGGGGACATATTTATGTGTGTATATATTGGTTTTTCAAGACAGGGTTTCTCTGTTTAACTGGGTCTATTTTTAATATTGTATTTCATAATAAAATATCCTAGGCACTATTTACCGAAATATAAAATAGGGTTGCCAATGTAGCTCAATGGTAGTTTCTAGAATATCTAATGGATTTGATTCCTACAACTAGACCAAAAGAAAAGGACATTATTTCCTTTCAAGTGTAGCAAAATAGAGTACACAGTTTAAGTAAGAAGCTGGGAGATCCCTGTCTGAATCTGCCACAGTGGCTCTGAGCTTTAGCTAAGTCCTTGTTCTGTACTAGAAGCTCAATGCTTCTCTGCAGTCTGGATGCCACCTACAGTTCCCAAGGCAATCATGAGGACTCATTCAAATGATGTACGCAAAATGGTTTGTGGCCTCTGTCACAAAGAAAATGTTTAAATCAGCATACAGGTAAACTTTCATTTTTATTTATTCCAAAGAAGCTAGCGACATGCGAACTTTCCACCGTGTGCTTTAGATAACAAAATTCATCTTCATGGTTGTAGTTTTGTTTTAATTACACTGTTTATTTAGTGTTTGTACGTGTGCGCATATGTGAGTGCCAAAGCACATGTCTGGAGATCAGAGAGCAATCTGTAAAGTAGTTTCTCATCTTCTACCATGTGAATCCCAAGGATTGAATTCAGGCTACCAGGCTGAGTAGAAATCACCTTTACCTGCTGAGCTATCTCACTCGCCCCACTGATGGTCACATTTTCATAAAATAAATTAAAACAAATCCTACAAAAAAGGATTTTGAACTTTCTTCTAGTTCATTCTAAAATATGTAATAGATTATTGCCAACTATAATCATCCTATACATTGTAGCTCATGAGTACTATTCTGCTGACGACATATATTTTGGCACCCATTATCCAACCTCTTCTGCTCCCTGAGAACTGAATGAAACTCAACTTTTGAAACAATTTCATGGGAACAGTATTCTGCCTGGAGAAGCAAAGGTCCAGAAACACCTGGCATTATAATGTACACTACCCTGCTAGGTCTGCTGGGAAGTAGGAAAATATAGGAATATTCTTTCAGATCAAAACCCTCAAGTCTTATGTCTTTAATGAAAGATTCCCATGTCTCGATTTTAGAGATAATTCATTCTCTTTTGTCTTTAGCCTATTTTTCAACATGTATGTGTAAAACATATTGACTATGCATATCTGTGTGTGTACACGCATGCCAAGGGCTACTACTTTCTAGTCTTAACTTCAGATACATCTATATGAAAGTACATTCATGAATATCAACAATTGCCAAATTTCAATTTCCACATAATAAACTCTTAGAGTGAGAAAATAATATATAAACTTAAAAACCTTAAAAGTGGGTAGCAGATAAAGTAGGTTAACTCCATTTTAGAGCTAAATTTTTAAAAATATGTAGTTTCATAAATTATCAAGGAAACTGATGTTGATGGACAAGTTTTAGTTTTTCTCACCCTAAGTGCTGGGCTCTCCTTTATGATCATTCCAGCTGACACCCAGGACACCAGTGTTGTTACTCTGGGGCAGTTTCCTACGTCCCTGAGCTTCATCATCATGTCAATATGTGGCAAGCCATCCTCCTATCCCAGTCTCCACACTGCTGGGTCTGTTCTGCTTTCCCACCCCCACTCTGTTCCTACTGCACTTATATAGCAAGACAATGTCTTGCTATGTAGGCCTGGCTGATCTGGTATTTTGTCACTATGTATACCATGCTTGAACTTGAAGCACTTGACTTTGAGCTTGCCTAACTAAGAGCTCAGAGACAGTAAAGTCCCAAAAGACGATTCTGTAAGAACCATTATTTATGAATCATTCCATTAAAGGTGCAACAAGCACAATTTATCAAAGTCAAAGAAAAAGCACTCTATTTTCCTATCTGATCTCTGACTCTCATTCACCACCATAGAAATGCAAACTAGACTGAAGGTGCTTGTGAGATGTCCCTTCGAGCACTGCCCCTTTCCCTTTAATTCCCCACCTTGCACATACACGCACACATCTGTGTCATTCTCTCAAGATATGAGCAACTCAATGAGGACTCACTACATTCCATACACAATTCTCAAGGGACTTCTCATCAAATCAGGATATGCTGCAACTTAAGACTCTGAGGTATCCTTTGCACCAAACACAAAGCATTAACAAACAAAATAAAAAAAATTAAAATACTGAGGTTGTGATCAAAAATAAAACAAAAAGAACTTAAAGACAACATTGGTGTCTGGGCCACAGAGTGGCCTAGAGAACTGCAACTTGAACACTACTTTCTGCATTAGCTTTTCTCAAAACACAGAATAAAAACGCTCTCTGCAGCGAATGTGTAAAAGGCTAGTTTGAAAAAAAATATTAAGTATAAAACATAGCAAATACAAAATATAAAAACATTTCTAAAACTAAAGATTATTTTTAAGATAAGATTAAAGTATTAAAAATTAAGTATCAATTAGAAAAAAAAAATTTGAGCACAAAGACCAAGAGAAATGGGATGGGCAGCAAGGTGTAGCCCTTAACTACACCATTACCACCGCAGCAACGGTTGACAGTAAGCCGACCACGGGTGAGCAAACACTAATGACACTTCTCAGTTCGGATGCTTTGACATTTTACTATGTGAAATACCAACCTGAAACAGCATTAGGCATTGACAGCAGAGGCTCACCTGTGCTTTGACTGTGATCTCTTCCTTCTAGAATGGGATTTTGAGCTAGACCTGGACTTTGAGCGAGTGTGGGAACGAGATCGACCGCCTTTCCTTTCATTGCTCTTTCCAGACTCTGGGAGGAAAAAACCACTTTGCAGCGTAAGCTCAGAACAATTAAAGATCCCAGTTAATAATTAGGCACAAGTGGAATATACCACATTTAGTGCAAGGGGCCTACTCTCTGTACATCCTCCTCCTGTGCAATTATCCTTCAGAAACATCCAAGAAAGTCATTGCATAAACTCGTTGAGTGCAGCCACCCTGCAGCAGTACATATAAACCAGATGATTATAAACAGCTGTTCGTAGTATTTTGTTGCTGCCATAACGTAAGATTAAAACATGTCTGCAATTCCTATGACAGTGAGGCTAAGACCTTCCTGCGCTTATTTTTGTTAGATTTGAACCTAAATTCCAAGTGTTAATTTAGGAAACCTAATTAAAGATAAATCACATAGACATTTTAGAGTGGATTTTAAAGTATTTAGCAACACAAAAACTGAGTAAGTTTTCCTTTAATATGACAAAACTGAGTAACTGTGTTTTTCTAAATCATATGCCCTTTCTCTTGTCTTAAAATTAAAACTTTGAGGGAAAGACAACCTGCCTATATTTAACATTTTAGCATTTACTCTTTCCTTCTTAGCCTCACAGTAACACACTGCATTTAGCAAACCAACCACAATATTGACTGGTCACCATAAAGAACTCACTGACTCAGGCTAAGCGTGTCAGCTCAGTAGTGGGAAAGTCAGTCTGTGCCGAGCTCTTCTGAGTGAGCCACTTACTAGGTCTTTAGTTTCAGTCTTCTCATTTGTACAGTGAAGGAGCTGAGCAGTGTAATCCTAGAATTCCTTCCAGCTCTAAGAGTCTACGGTCTTTAGTCTACGCCCTGGACAGCAATACTGTGGCCTTACCTGGTTCAATAGCTGCTGAGATAAATGACTGAGCCTCCCGCACTCGCTTCATTACTTCTTCTAACTCCTTAGCTGCAGCCTGAGGTGTCATCTCAGGAGGCTTTACTATTGCATTGTTGGAGTGATTTATTCTAAATTAAAAATATTAGTATATCACAAACACACACCATAGTTTATAAAACAAGAAACAATTAAATGTTAGTATGATACACATATTTATAAATCTGAGGACATCAACAGCACATACGGAAATAAAATAACTACAGAATAAGCAAAAGCAACCTCAGAAAACCATGATAAATCTTTCATCTCCACCTACCGTGTCCTGCTAAACAAAAGAAAAAGCAAGAAAAACTGAAATCTACCTTCATAACTTAATCATAAGTGCTTTTGCACATACCTTAGAAAAAATGAAAATACAGCTATCGGGATTAAAAGGGACCACCTTTATTCTTAATTTTATTCTGCTGATAACCTGCATACCCCAGAAGGATGAAGGGGAAGCTGACTTCATGATCATTTTATTCAATACTGACCTATGTCTTAGTCAGACACAGCGTCAGAGGCGACAGGCATCTGGTAAACCTCCTCTAGTAGGCAGTGAGTCTCCTGGGACATACACAGACATACCTGCTGTGTCTATCTTACACATACCGCAGACAAGACTGGGCACCCAATAACAACAGTGACTGATCACTTGAGAGTAAAATGCCAAACTAGTAGTAAATTGAGAGATCCAACTATAAAACTCAAAACCATTCGCCTTCATATCTGTATGAAATACAATTTCTGGTCTTAAGCATCTGAAAGGTGATATGAAATTTTTACAAACAAGGATAGGCATGAGCAGATTAAGTCACAATGTCTGATTTAAAACTGATTCTAAATACTTAACATTATTTTCTTCCTAGGACTTGGAATTTACCCAAATTCTTATTATCGAAGTTCTGCAGTTCAATTGTAAATTAAGCTGCCCTTAATCTGCTATCATCATAAAATAAACCTGTATTCCTGAAACCACTATGTATCGTATACAGTTAATGATCAACTATGTATTAAGGCCAGAAAAAAAAAGAGAGACAGGTCTTCAACTATAACAAGAAATGTAAAGGCTACCGTGTCATGCGTTTCACTTATACTTAACCCAGTCTTTCCACAAACTGCCAATTACTATTTTTAAAAAAAAAAGCTCTAATTAAATCAAGCATTTCACAACGTTTTCAAAACCATTAAGAATGTCTTTGTTGAAGGTGTCTTACTTCAGCGGCCTGTCTCCGAACATAACGCCATTAAAAGCAAGGGCCCTCGGCACAGAATTTTGGTCTGCAAATTCCACAAAAGCAAACCGAGTTGGCTGAGTCTCATCACCTGCCATCCGAACAAACTTCACTTCTCCAACTTGTTTAAAAAATTCAAGTAGTTGATCAGCTGTTGTTGTCTGAGGAAGCAGAGTGACACTTTAATACAGTATATTCTTTTTTAAGTCAGGTAAATAAAGTAGTTAATGCTTGCAGCAGGGAGGGAAGTACATTTTTTTTTTTAGTGACAAGGTGACTGGCAAGGTTCCCATACTCCTGTAAATAATCAATGCTCCTAAGATGCAATCCTGATTAAACCTACTAGGTTCCAAGAAAGACATGAACGTAGAAGAGGGACTACTTGGGAAGAGAAAGCAAATTGATGGGAGTAGGAAGACGTTACAAGGGAATAATGGGGAAAATAAATACGGTCAAAATACATGCATGTGTGAAAACATCATAATGAAATTTTTAAAACAAGTAAATAATACTTTATCAATAGAAATTTCAAGGAATAAATAAATGGCTACTGCCACCTGGTTTCTTCTTAGTTACCTGTGAATTCAAATTTCCAACATAAACTGTTCTCCTAATTTCATCAATTTTGGAAGGGTCCACATTTCCCATAAGCGGTGGCTGTGGGATCTCTCCAAGTGTGGTAATATTTGGGTCCAGTGCTGCTGCCGGTATGGCTCCCAAACTGCTAAGTGAGACACCAAGCTATAAGAAACAAAAGTAAACTATGACTATGAGGCATAGTTTCCATTCGTGTCCAAAGCATTGTTCTCTAATCTTCCTACCAGTAGATCAATTCAACGTGAATGGAAGGAGAAAAAGAACTTTAAGCTACATATATCTGAATTGCAAAGAATAACCTCACATTAGTTTTTAACAAAACATTTTCTAACTGCCCGGGTATTTAATTACCTTTAAACTGACATTAAAAGTGAACACTACTTTTCAGTGTTCAACATAGTTCTATTTTGTGATGTCCATAAACAGCATTATTGTATACTGGGCTAATGCCTAGAAAAGAGGCAAGGTTAAGTTCCTAGGACCTTGTCATCACAATATCTCTGCCCATCAAGTACTCAGTACAGAACTTCCTAATATGACTTTCTGTCTGATGGTCCCTTGGTTAATATATGTTGATTTAGCAACACTGAATTCACTGTCAGTAAAACAAATCAAAACAAATACTCTGAAGCTTTTCTACATTTCCATCATAAGGACTGAGCTTTTTTTTTTTTTCTTCTTTTTTGGCACTGTGTGTGGAACTATCTAAAGAAAAAAAAATACATACAAAAACAGAATTTCAAAGACTATGGCACTAAACAGACTATACTCACACCCATTTGCAGCATGAGTACTGAAACAAGGCAGAAGATGCTTGGCTTCATCTAGAAATATCACATCATGTAACTCAAATTCATCATTACTCTAGAGTATGTATCAGCTGCAAACAGTGATTTGGAAGTTTCAAAAAACTTGGGCTGGAGAGATGGCTCAGAGGTTAAGAACACTGGCTGTTCTTAAGGTCCTGAGTTCAATTCCCAGCAACCACATGGTGGCTCACAACCACCTACAATGAGATCTGGTCCCTCTTGTGGCCATGCAGACAGAACACTATACATAATAAGTAAATCTTTAAAAAAAAAAAAAAAAAAAAAAAAAACTTTTACTAAGTATATGAATTCACAAATATTGAATTTGCAATGTCAACTATACCTGGTCATTCAAAAGATCTCAAAATTTTAAAACATTTTCTGCATTTGGGAGAAGTAACAAAAAGATTTTTCAAAGAAATAAAATACAACCACTTTCATTTCTATTTGTGCTAACTCCAGAAAACTGATCACTAACAATATATGCAAATATTCTATCAATGACTAAGAAGTAACAGCAGTTTCTAAAGCTAAAAAAACAAGTTTACAAAACTTCTTTTGTAAGTTTTGTCCCTTATTCTTGTCATAGTACGGCCAGTATAATATTTTTGAAAACATGCGAGGACATGTTGTTTCTAATCAACTAAAAAATAGAATTCAAATGCCTTTCTAAGATCTAAAAAGCCCTACACAGTCAGTATCCTATCCAACTTCAAACACCTAGTTCTGTCCCCTCACTATGCTCCAGGCAAATTGAGCACTTCTGGTCTGCTCAAACACAGAAGTTCAATTAAAAACTATCTTGCTCCATAAATCTCAGTGAAGGTCTCCAGCAACAGAATGCTATGCAAAATTCAAAATTCCAGAAGCCATTTCTATAATCAGGTCAAACTGACCATCACAATCACGAAGTTTGTGCTCTCCCTATGGAAAACTAAAACGTAAGTCACAGCCTTTATCTAACCCTCCTGGAAAAGGAGTATAACCAGAATCTTTTTCACACAAAAAATAAAAGCCCAGTGATGGCTGTATCTTTCTTTTACTAAGAAATCACAAGATATTAATTACTGTTTAATTCTATACAGAAAAAGTTAAGATTTTCATCATCTTTTCACCTTGTTCCAGCTTCACAGTCATCACATGACTATTTCTCTGAAATGCTTTTTTCCATTACCAATGCTCATGCCCTTCTTTAAACGGCTTTAGACCTTCTGGTACTCCTCAACTGGGAAGTGATCTACAGCCTCCAAGTCTGTGTTATCTCAAGCACCAAGTTTCCTACTTGAGTTTCCAAATCTGAACAAGCTCCCAGTTATTTCAGAGCAATCCCCAAAGCAACCTCAAGTGAGCTGACAATGGGGTAAATTAAGCCTGGATTTTGGATGGTTACCACCAAAACAAAACAAAGTGAAAATAATTTCAAATTCCTTACTCAGCCATTTGCATAGGTCACCGTGCCCACAACATCAAGACGACTTACACTACTCACTGCCGTCAGAGGACTGGAGGTCGGTATGGGGAGCAGTCCTGCACCCGGAACCAAGCTTGCCATGGTTGGAGCAGGAGCCAGTAAAGACAGGGCTTTGGCTTCCTCTGGGATTTTACCTGCAGAGAAAAGTTCCAGATATTACGGAAAGCGGAAACACCACACCAACTTTATACTATGATTTTACAATTACCCTTGCACTTAAAAATAATAATAATAAATGAATCTATCTATCAGATCTGTACAAAGAAACAAATACGAACATAAGTCTTTCCTTTTATCCTGCTCTATTAGGAAAAATAAAAGTGAGCAAAACTTCAAAGACTAACAATCTCATTAATGGAATATTATTTTAAAAACTGAATAATGTAGACAATTATTTAACACTTTGAGCTATGGGTCACCTGTACTGGAAACTTAATGTTCATGAACCAAACGATATCAAGCATGGACGCTTTCCCAGGACGCTGTTTTCGCGGTGATCGAAAGTTGTGTTACACATGACAACCGTTCGTGTTGGCTGCGTCACTAATAGCACACAGAACATCAGATACAGAAAAGAAGAACATTTTTTAAAGTTTAATCCCCAGAAATGGCAAATAACCAAATTAGTCAAAAAAGAAAAAGAAAAAGAAAAAAAAAAAACAAATATGTGCGAATTGAAATTTGTTCCACAATGAGTGTTCTCTATCCTGTCCTGAAGCTACCTACTTGTGAAGCAAACAATTCTGTAACCCTCCAAGACTCCACTCAATCTCAAATAAACACAGGAAAACAGAACTCTACAACACGTAATCAGCTTGAATTAAAAACGGTCCATACCCACTCATCAATAAGGTTCCTCAACAACTAATGCCTTGAAAGGATCTAATCCCAAAGATGCCTTTTAGGCAATTTATAAAAAATTTATGGGACTGAACAAAAATGTTTTCAGTCTCAAAAAAAAAAAAGAAAAAAAAAACCCTTTTAATACTAACCTTAGATGCAATGTATATATACTTATCTGAATAACAGTAACTAATGCTTACAAATGCTTTGCTTATGAAACCTGTAATTTTCTAACAGGAGTAGTACTAAAATCAGTTTAGAATTAATAAAAACACTTGCAACTTAAAAAATGAAAAAGTCATTTTAAAGTTCATGATCTGCTATATTTGGCTTCTAAATTTAAAAAAAAAATTTAAAAAACTAAAACATTCACATTTTTCCCTATCTTCTTAGCAAATAAAAAGGTATAATTCTCAAACTTGATTGCATATATAAATTACCATTTCTTTTAATTCATTAAGACTGTCTTAAAACCGTTCTTTTAAAAAAAAATCACACAAGCTGAAAAATATGTGGTAAATTTTCAGGAACATGATGCCTGGTTTCAGTGGTAAATCCTATTTAGAACAACCAGATGTACAGAGATAAATCTCTAAACATCTCTTGATAGACCTCTAAGCATGAAGTGATTCAAGTTGGAATGTAAAACTTTAGATAATGGGTATAGCTTATCTATAGAAAAAATACAATTACAGTTTAGTCCTTTTGGCAAATGCAAATTTTCTAATTTCCCAGCATCTAAATTTAACTAATTTTAAAAACCGAGGACATTGCTTTAAGTTCTGGAGAACAAATTTCTTAACATGCAGAATGATAACAAGGTAGGCCTTTTTAAAGACAGCAAACAGTAATGAGCTACTCGTTACTATTACTATATATCCACATATGCCCACACACACTATACTATTTACTCTTTATATTCATTATCACATTCATTTTACCTACTCAAAATAGATAGCATTTTAGAGGTTTAAAACCTGACCACCGGTGATAAATAACTAGTCCTAACGTGTGCACTCTATGCTCTAGCACCCTAATTTATTCACCTAAGAGTTTCAATCTAGTAATGCCAAATTTAGCATTATCTGTCAATAATCAAACCCAGCTACCCATACAGTAAAGAGACTGCACAGACAATAAGGTGTTCAACATGAACCAAGATCATTACTCAGTACTATGAGGACTTGGTTCTGTAGTAAGTATCAACAGGTTATCAGATTCTCCCTACCTCATAAAAATAAACTTACAAATCAGTAACTTTAAGCTCATATTATATTATTTCTGTCTTATTCTAAAGATACTTTAAGAAAAAATTCCATTGCTCTATTTCCAAAATAAAATTCTATAAAATTTATCCTCTAAAACTCTACCAGAGTATATAGAAGTATAAAACAAGTAAGCATTTAGCATTTTCCCCAAACTACACTTCAAAGAAAACTGAGGCAAACATCTCACACTGTGAGTCCTGACGTCAGAATCCACTTAAAAAGCTATTAACCTGTGAAGAATTTTCAACAAAAAATTCAAGCAAAAAAAAAAAAAAAATGCATGCAAATAAACAATCAATGTTGTCTCCAATATCCATTCCCCAGAGGCAACAAAAGGCTTCTTAAGACCAAGTTAATAAAAGACAAAGACCTCCCCCTACCTTCAAAATGGTAAAAGAAATGCACTTATTTTCCTTAATGGTTTTATATGCCTACAGTTCTAGGGGAAGGATAAAAATTATAAGCCATCAGTTGGTTTTTATGAGAGATGTAGACTTGGGGAAAAAATAATAAGCACTGAGCCCATCTAGAAAATGTTCCTAAGATTCTCGTAAGTGCTTTAATGTTTGAAGATCAAAATGTACCTCATCAACCCACAAAGACCAATTAAAAGCACTGAGCATCTTTTCAGCTACACTCTAACTTACTGCATGGCAATTCAGTTCATCTAAAGGTTGAGTTCTGGTAATCATTCCCCCATAAATTTGCAACACGTTATGAACTCTTAATGGAATACCATTTACAAAGAACTGGAAGACCAGCTCACAAGTTAAAAGTGAAAGATTTAACAAAACAAAAACAAAACAAACAAAAAAGAGGGACAAAATAAAAAGAAAGAAAATTAAAGTAAAACAATAAAAACAGAGACAGGGCGTCCATCTTCTGCGGTTCAGACTCCGATCTCATTTCCCCAATGAAGGTTTCACTTGGCGGCAGGTTTAGTGGCATGGCAAACAATGCCTAACTCAGGCAAGTGTAACAGGTCTGCCTTGGCCAGTCTAGTCATCTAATAATGCACAAATATCACATAGAGAAAACATACAAAACCAAATTAATGTCAAAATCCATCTACCAGAAAATGTGGACATAAAGTTATGACTGATGATTAGGCTCACACCTGCTATGTTGATCTTATTTTTTTCTAAGTGTTAACATTTCTAAAAAGAAATCTGAAATGCACGCAACAAAAAGGGGTCATATTTAGACAAGTATAATGAAAGTACTTTTTATTCAAAATAGCATGTTTCATTAACAATAGTTCCTGCTTAAAAGGTATCAATACTTTTCCATTCTCTTCTCACATTACTGTCTGAACTAAAAACCAGCAAATTGAAAAAACCTGAAAATCTGGTAAAATGTCTAACCTGGCCTTTCTCATTTGCACAATGCTGCTTCCACGGCGCTGAGGCCTGCAACGAGTCAAGTGTGCAGGGCGCACACTGCACTGCTCACCTCAGAGACCCCTCCACTGCAGACTTCCCTCCGTTTCTTCCTCTAACTCTGCTCTTTTTTTAAATTTAACAATGCACTACTTCTTTGCTAAAGGTGCATAATCAGACTTAAGAGCTGTGATAGTCAGTTATATTTTGACAAAAATAAAAAATGCGTATCAGTTTCTTCCTGATATCAGTTACTCATGTCAAAATTGAAAAATGCAGTAAATTTTGATTTGCATATTCAAAAATAGTAAAATTTTCTCTCACTGAAAATATTTAAAGAGTTATAGCTGCCTTTATTAATTTCTACCAAGTCAAACAAACTACAACAAAGACCTCCATATGCCCATAACCTTGAAAGTTTCTTAGAAATCAGAGTTTCTCTGATTGAATGGACTTAGAGTAAGGTTCAATGATTTTAAACTCCTCCATCAAAATCAGTAATGATAAAAGCCTATGCTATACTTTTTGATATTTTCAGTTTAAGAAATCCACTTGGTAATTTTTTTTCCTGTGCAGTTTTATAGCATGAAACTTTGTAAAATTAAAACTTCCTTTCCCATCTTACTCCCTGACTTGGGGCTCACTGTACTCTTAAAAGATTATCAAGTAAGAATGCATTTGGCAAATAATTTATTTTAATCCACATTTATCTTCCCTATCTACTCTAACCCCTTAAACACGAGAAATATGCTTTCAAATACATCTGGGGGAAAAAAGAAACCAGAACTTCCTGTTCTGGGATCTGAAAGCCACCAGTCTGGAGGAGCCATATCTTACAGTGCTCTTAACACTCCATAACAGGCATTCTGAAACAAGCATAGAACTCCCAAAGTGCTAATGCATTAACTGATTGTATTTTAGTGTTAACCTAGTCACTACAGCAAGTTTTTAAAATTCATATAAAAAGGCCAGTAAATTGTTTCTAGCATACTTTTATGCTATAAAATAGTTACTATTATCTAGCAAAAACAAACAAAAAAAAAACATGTTCATTTCTAAGAACATTTCAATTTAGAAAATAACCAAAATTTAAAATCTATATATATATATGTCACCAAAATCCGCAGCCAATTAATTATATATGAATGACTCTGGAAAAACATAAAATTTGTAATAATAATTACCTCTTAAAGCAATGCAAGACATAAGATTTAACAAGTAACTAGAAGGCTTTTGGCCTTTTTCCCATCTTTGACATTACTCCTTGATGGAGGCCTTAAAAGTTGCTTTCTAGTTATCCTCCCCAATAAAAGCCAATCAAAGAAAAAGTTCCAGATATATAATAAAAATTAAACTAAATATGAAATAATAGTCTTATAATAATTGAAAGAAACTACTTTAAGAGGATATTTGAAAGAATAAACTGAGTATTTCTCAAATTAATATAAAAACATTACAACCCTAATTTGGCTGAATGTATAGTGTTTTACTTGGAAAATTCTTAACTGTCCTCTGAATATATGAATTTTAAATACCTTTCATACCAACTTAAGTTTTTAAATTCTAAAAAACTTTTTTTTTTGCAATCTGCAAATTGGGTATAAAAAGCCAAGGCCAACTATAAAAGGTAAATATTTGACAAATTTTCTAAATGTTCAGTTGTAAAACCTCAAATATCCATAAGTAATGAACCAACCACTTCCATATAGTTTTCTATCAGGTGTTTTTTTTCTTCTCTGATCTCATTCTCATTTTCACACACACAAAAGTGAGTGTGCACAAACAAACACAAAAATTACTGGCCAATTTCTAGGAAGTTAAAGGCTATAGTAACAGACAGGACAGAAATTAAAACAGTAAGAAAAAAGATGAGATACCAACCTTCTGCACAAGGAACTACTATCAGAGCTCTGTCAATAAAAACCGTGTTAGTTAGATGCTGGGCCACACCAACACTTGATGGGTCACGAAACTTAACATAACATACTTTGGAGGAAAAAGCAAGAGGTGTGTTGCTGCAAGATAAAAAAAAAAAAAGGATTAATAAACATCCGCATGGTTTTGTAATTTTCATTTTAAATTTCTTACACCAGACTTAGGTAATTTTTGTTGCTAAAGATTATTAACATCGAAACAGCAAATTTTAGTCATTTAATGCTGACTCTGGCTTGTCTGACAAAACAGAAGCCAATCTCAAGTTGTCTGCAAATCAGTAAGTACTTTGCGTGAAATTCAAAACAGTTAACACGTTATCATAGTCAGACTTTTACCATCCAAGACTTTAAACTGTAAAAACAACAAAGAAACAAAAAAGTAGCCTCTCCCACCAACTGATTACTCAACACTATCTTACTTAAAAGTAATGATACTATTTCCCTGCTATGGTATCTGAGAGTCACTAGTATCACAGTAATTGGCACTATTCACCAAAATTTCCAATGTTCCTTTAAAGTGCATGGTAAAATTCCACTTTTCTGCTTCATGAACTTACTTGTGTCCAAATAACTTGCTTTGGTGGATTAAACATGCGCAAAACCAACCCCTCCAGTTTGCAGAAGCTTTCAGAGCCACTGCCTGGCTCTTTTTCTCTGCCACAGCCACAGATAATGCTCAAGAGACATAAAGCTGACTGTGCACTTCATCTCAGAGCTCAGCCCTACCAAGACAGTGTTAAGAAATTATCTCTTTT